GACTTTAAAACTGACTTTTGAACTGTAACTTCCCACTTGTTGAGTGTCAGGCCTGATAGAAAATCTGTTGCTTTAATGGCAGAACGTTATATATGATGCTGTTTACACTTATCTGACACCATATTTTTGTCGGCGCCGACAAGAAATGTCAGCTATTTTGACAGCCCTCTACGTCCGTAATCTCGATAAATCTCTTTCGCCTATGATTAAGTATGGCGCTGTTCACATGATGTCGGATGTTGGATCTGTCAACCCTCTATATCGCAGTTGTTGCGTTTTTATTGTACCCAACATATTGTACGCATGTTTGAGTGTTTCGTAATTATCTAAAAATATTATATAATCCTGAGGATTTGATCACACTAGTTCAGGAAAGAGCTGTTCTTTGGGACAAAACAATTTTCTTTTCTTGGCTTTTTTATTTGTTTTCTTCTAAAATAATACATCACACCAAAACCTACGTTAAAGACCGAAATAATCGTGTATAGCCGCCTGGCATAGACTGCCAAAAAATGGCTCCAGCCAGCTTCAGTCGGGGTACACCCGACGAGTGGTAACTTTACGTTAAATTAACACTACGATAAACACTATGTATTATTTACCCAAACCACTAGAATAATTATATATATATATTTAAATCGTTAAATTCGTTTATGGACAAAATAACACTGTCTAGCTGATAGTAAGTGGATGCTATAGCCTATATTCATCTACATCTATCAAATAATTAAGAATCAAAATATAAAATGTTTTGTCACCTCTTCGGACTAAGATGGAACATCTTATACGTGGTAGAGCCATGCTGCAGTTATAATAGTAGTATAGTTGTAGCACGAATGGGTCGGCTCGACCGGGGAAGGACCACGCTCTCACAGATTACCAGCGTTAAATAGTGGCGTAATGCTGCTGTGTTTCGCATGGTGAGTGTAGAGAACCGAAGACCCTTTTTACTGGAAAAGAGGCATTACATCTTAGTCCTCACAGGTGACAACGCATCTGCATTTTGATTCGTAATCGAGGATAGATGTATCTACAGGTTGTTGGTAGTATCTACAGGTTCCAAAGCAACCACTTACCATCAGGTGGACTATGTGTTATGTCTGTCACCCTGTCCTATAAAATAATCTTGTTAAGAAGAGGAAGAAGAGGATAATAAGGTTCTCTACACCTAGATTTAGCTATGGGTTTTGGATATGATGTAATTGTAATGCATGAAAGAATAAATTATTTAATTAACGACTGTGCGTGAGTCTGTCACTCGTACATAACATTTCACTAGAATTGAAACAAACTCGTACAAAGGGTTACGCTTCGGTGCTTTTTGCGAATAATGCAGGGTCCTTCAAGGTTACAATGATTCAGACGTTTTTTTCACTTAGTGACATTTTACGACCACTCGTGAATGTATAATTTTTAAAATTAAAAAAAAATACTTGCAATGCTGTTAACGTTACTAATATTCCCTTTAAACACTCCTGGTAAGCTAAAACTGCTTGCGTTAGGAGTGATTCACGTTCACGTTCACGAGTAATCGAATTGTGGATTCGAACAACCTTTTGTGTTCGCGGTCCGCACCTTGCCGTTAGGCCCGGTTTATATTTTGAGAAGTGACAAGTGCGAGTGGCAAGTGCAATTGACATATGGTAAGTGCTTAGTGCGTGTGAACAGGCAGTGACAAATGATAAGTGGGAATAAAATACGCACTAAGCACTTGTCATTTGTCAGTTGCACTTGCCACTCGCACTTGTCACTTCTCAAAATGCAAACCGGGCCATGGGCTACTGTCGCTTCCAGATTAGTTGGGATATTGTCAAATCTTAGAATTATATCAAAATATTACAATTGTAAGTTAAATTTACACTTTGTACGTCCCACAATCGGACACAAGTCTCCTCTTATTTTCGGGAGTTTGTTTATAACTGAACTGATCAATGAACTCACGGTCCACTTGATAGTAATTAGTTACTGCACTTCATTCAATTTAATCATTATCAAGTCAATCTTAAAAATAGTTATAGTATACCTACAATTCGTTAAAATCGTGATGATTATATATTAGTACATTTTTTAAACTGCGTTATTATTCTCGTTTTTTCTTCTTTCACATAAAATATCTGTACGTAACAATAGATTGGAAGTCACCCAAATAAACCAAATTACATTGTACGTTCTGACGCAAAAAGTTTTGTGAAAAAGTTTTTGTATAAGATACCGGTCATAATTCTTTATTTTAAAAATTCGTTTACAAGTTGATACGAATGTTCTTATTTTGAAAATTTACCTCCGCATTAGTACGAGCTAAATTAAATAATGGTGTTTCTTTGAAAAATGGATCTGCCTCTGGAACATAATCGTCTATAAGCGGCCAAATTGTTTGATAGATTCCGAATGGCGTATAATGAATAAAGCCTTTCTAAGACAACCGTTGGTAGCATATTTATTATTGAGAGATAAAAAAGTGGTAGCCTTTTGCGGCTGTAGCGGAAGGAAATGTACTCAGCGTTTATGCAGATGCTCGACCATTTTAACACGAACACCTTTGCGCACATGCAGAAAAGCAGCTCAGAAGCAAACCCGCGTCAAATGGTGCCATGATATGACGTGATTATTATTTGAAGCAAACTGGTCTCGGCGTGTTCATGACATTTACTTATGCTGAATCTTGAATTTATCAATACAGTCTAAAAACAAAGCGCCAGTCGACGGTTTGGATACAAAATACTACTTAAATACTGCCAAAGTGATCGAGAAATGCAGGGAAGATTTTGATCACTGGTTTGTTTACTTTAGCAGAACATCTTTGTCAAATTCTTTAGGAAATCGAATTAAAATCAATGGTATACCACGAAATGCTTGCCAGAAGTATTCACTGCTGTGAGTAATAAGCGATGACACTAAGCTTTCCAAACGAGGGGCTTCCCGGCTAGCACATTGGGTAAGCTTTTAAGGCACATTTATTATTAAAATAAAAAAATCAGCTGAAAGCAATACATTATTATTTCTAGATTATTTAGCCTTAGCAGCGTTCAAGCAGGCCGTAGAAAAGATGTCTGAGGCGACTGGAAAAAGTGTTTCGAAAGTAAGTTCAGACGTATGATACTTTTTCTAGATGCTGGTGGTTATTACTGGAGTTATTTGGAATAATTTAATAATGTAAACTTTAACCATATAACTTTTCATTCGTTTCTCAAAACTTTCTGAGTTGCCTATGTATTTCAGACAAGTGACAGATATCGAATAATTTAGGAGAAAACATCTTAGTACTTTTAGAGTAAAGACATGTTGAAGCTACTCGTATTAATTTACCGAATATAAATAAGTGGTTGACTTTAATTCCACCTTATGGTGAGCAGTGGTGAAGCCATAGATGGTAGATCACACTGTCTAAGCGTAATAAAACCTATTAACTCTTACCTTGAAGCCATCCAGGTTTTACGCGACAAAAATACAGAGGCAGTGAAATTATTGCTTCACTCTTTTATCTCAATAGTGAAAAAGATGATGCAAACCGTTTGGTTCGAATGTGTGCCATATCAACAACAATGGGAATGAAGGCCTATTGACCGCCTGGTTGTCCACTGATGGAAAGGGGTGAGATGATTTAGGAGTCTTGTTAATTTTTTATCAGATTGAAAAACACCGATTTCATGAAAAACATGCTGCTTTAAAATCTGCCATACAGAATGGCAGAATTTGTCAAAATGGTATTACGTATTTGGTACTGTTTCCTATAAACGGTCTGGCTATTTAACTTCTAGCAGAGCGGAATGGAGTTTGGTTGAGTTTTTCACTAGATGGAGTGACGACCTAGTAAGACACGCACGATGAATGCAGGTGGCTCAGGACCGTGCTTTGTGGCATTCCTTGGTCGAGGCCTATGTTCAACAGTGGACTTGTAAAGGGCTGTAATGATGATGATAAACGAAATGATTTTGATGCCTTTCGTCAAAAGTCATGATATATATTTTTTATAGTATAAAGGTGACAAACGAGCACACAGTCCAACTGATGGTAAGTGGTTGCTGTGGCCCATAAACATCTACATCTATCCTCCCGTTGGTTGTTAACCGTGAGGACTAAGATGGAATTCCTAGTTTCAAGTAAAAAGAGCCTACGGTTCTCTACACTCACCAAGCGAAACACAGCAGCGTTAAGCTGCTATTTAACGCTGGTATTCTGTGAGAGCGTGGTCCTTCCTTCCATCCTTTCCCGGTCGAGCCGACTCATGCGTGCTACAACCATAATATAGCTACAGCGTGGCTATACCACGTAAAAATAATCTTTCTGTAATTTCCCATAGTTACCTCTTGAGTGTCGAACACAAGTGATGGATTCTGTTACGACGAAAACCCACAGAATATTTGGTGCAGTTGGTTACAATTTATAAAGTGAAAACGAAATGTTAGTAATAATCATTTTTTATTATTATAAATTGCATGTTTTACAATATCTGTTTACCTATTTAAGATCTAGTATACCTTAAACCCTAAATCACCGTGTAGTGGCGGCCTAAGGGAATCCATTATCCCATATCATCCCGTTAATTTCGTAAGAGATGACAGGGGAACACAAACGAGGAGATGGGCAACAGCATCTTCGTAATAATAATTAAAATTAAAAACAAAAACTGCGGTTGCTAACCCTCCTGCCTTAGAAACTATGGAAAACATCCCCCCTCTGAGGCAACCTATGGCTGGCCTATATTCAACAGTGAACTTTTGAACGGATGTAATGATAATAATGCTTTAAATCCTATTTTATCACTAAGTAAGATATAAGAGTATATCTAAATTTATGTATTAAACTTAAACTGAAAAAAAAAAACTCTTGTAAGTGAAGGTCAATAACGTAAACAATTAAATCAATACAAACTCCTATAGTACATAAAAGATGTAATATTTTTGCATCTTATTATTGTTGATGAACGCACTGGCTGGTAAGAAAGAGTAAGTTGAATAAATACCACAGTTTTTGTTCACTTATTTAAAAAAAGAACTTACAATAATGAAACTTGCTAGCGCCAGCATTTTGTGTTGACACATTTTCACTTTCATATACTCCTTAATAACACTGACACAAGCGTCTGCTCCACGATCTAGCTGAGTACTGTTTGTGATTAAACATGAACGTTCTGAGGCTTTTGTATAAGCAGACTGCATAAATCGTAAGGCTGTATGTACAGTCAACGTGAAAAACGCTGCCTTTAACAAGCACAGAACTTTTCCTTGCAATGACTGTAAAAATATTTTATGTTTTTCTTTCTTTATTATAAGACAGTGAAAAAAGAAACAATCTCATAGTAAGTGTATGTACACGAATATCGGGTGTTACTTATAACTATCTAACTAACGAATCGTCATGGGTTCGCAAGGGTGATTTCTGGAGCAGCAGCGCCACCTACCGAGTCCAACTGTGAATCTAACCCATTTTCAAATCAACTTAATGACACACACACAAAAATTTATTAAAATCAGTCCAGCCGTTTAGGAGGAGTTCAGTCACATACACGCGGACGGAAGAATATTGCACATAAAGATGTTAAATATATTTATGTGTTGGTCGGAAATGTCCATATCCTCCATATATGTCAGAAGTGTTCAGTGCCTCCGATCGACATCAAAAAAAAAAGATGCGGCAGAAGCGTTGTCAGACTTAAAACCTAAAATGAATTAGCTAAAATGAATTAGAATTAGAAACGTCGGGATAATAATAAAAAAATTAAAGTAATTAAACGCGATAAAACCGTATTGTTTTATGATTCTACCAGTATGTAATTATTCAAGCGTTTGTGCCCTTTCATCCGGAACACTTGCTTGCTGCTGCTTGGCGGCAAAAATAGTTAAGAGCATGGCATCAACTCAGGCGTTACAAAGTTAGCACTGATCTTTATTTAATTAAACAAACAACTAATAAACTAACTTGCAGTCTACCTGATGGTAAATAGCTGCAGTCCACGAACACCTGCACTAAACTTCACAACAATAAAGCAATAGATGCGTTGTCAGCCCTGTGGACTAATATGGAATACCTCACAGCCAGTGATTATACCGGCACTTTATACTGCTATTTTTTAAATTTTTTTATCATATATGGGCAACCCTCCGGAAAGCGGGGGAGGAACGCAGTGAATGCTCATAGCAGCCAGCTGCGTGGTTATGTGGAGACTTTCACCCACTAAACACCGCCTTTATGGATTGGCTTACCGATCTGACGAGAGATCTCTAAGCCGTATAAGGACGCGACCCTCCTTGGCAGAAAGGAAGGCGCAAATTTCTTACACGTCCTCAAAAGGCATTTATCAGTTGTCAGGTACTCTTTTGTTTATAGTAGCGAGTACCGCATTGTGTGAATATTTGACATTTGTGGAAGGAGTTGTAAAAGAAATTGAAGTTAATCATTCTCTAATCAGTCATTTCGGCTAACTACGAAGACTTATTATAATAATAAAACGATCAAATTTTAAAAAGAAAATATTTCTTCTTTCAATAGCATAATATTAATTCCTTTTACAAGAGGTCAACCATATTTCAATGTGCGTTGAACTTTATTATCGTTCAGGCGCGTGTAGATAAACCTACGTAGGAAAATACGCAAAATTTGACTATTCGACTCAGTCGCCATTAGTTGACGTAACAATAATTTATCACAAGCATTACGTCCTCTTGTAGCAGGATAAATGTCCACATTGAACTTGCGTAATACGTTGGAATTCCTGTGGTGTTACAAATCCAACGATACTTGTTCTTCCTTCCTTTACAAAAATAAAATTTATGTACCTTTTTTAATAGAATATAGGTGACAATCGAGCACACAGTCAACCTGATGGTAAGTGGATGCTGTGGCCCGTAGACATCTACATTTATCTTAGATTAAGAATCACAGGGGTAATAATGCAGATGCTTTGTTACCCCTGAGGACTAAGATGGAATGCCTCGTTTCCATTAAAAAAAGGGTCTCCGTATCTCTACACTCACCATACGAAACACACCATTAAGCACAGTATTAAGCTTTTTTACGCTGGTATTCTGTATAGTGGTATTCTGTATATAACCACGCTCAACTAAAATATACAACTAAAATATAACTGCAGCGTGACTCTATCACGTTTTATGTGTACCTTTATAGATAAAATAATAAGTTATAATGAGAAGCTCCGCTAGCTATGGAGAGGTCTATGTAATATATTACCGCAGTTAAACTACAGTAACCGATATAAACCAAGTGGTAATAGGCTGACCATATAGCACAAAAGACGGACTATCAATGGGGAAGAAGGCTTCTCGAGTTCTCGAGAAGTTCTTGAGTTCTCGACAACTTCTCGAGAAGACCTGAGACATGCAGGAAATTAATGGATGCCGGTGATTAGAGACCGTGTTTTGTTGTATTCCTAGGGGATTTTTGAAGGTCTGTGATGATGACGATGATAATATGAAGGTGCGATTAGTATGATCTTAACTAAAATAGTTTTTTTACAATACCGTTACAGCCGGCTAAAAAGTGTGTTACACACTTTAAACATTTACCGAAGTTAGTAAACAGTGTTCTTACATACAGTTATTGCCTCGCAGGGATTTGCATATAATTGGCCGCAGTGTTTTTGTTATATTGAATTGTTATCAGGAATATGCTCCTGCTCATCTCCTGTATCATTTGCCTCCCGCCTCGTGTGACACCCACGGCTAATATGGGATAGTGGATTCTTTTATGCCGCTATTACACAGATAAATATTTCTTTCTCATTTTCGGCTCGACCGGGGAAGGGGTGTTTCATTAAGTGTAGAGAACCGGAGACCCTTTTTACTGGAAACGAGGCATTCCATCTGAGTCTTTACGGGTGACAACGCATCTGCATTTTGATTCGTAATCGAGGGTAGATGTAGATGAGATGGCATAGCTAGTACGAGGCTGCCACTCATAGGAGAACCTTTTTCACCCCCACTATTTATTAGACCATCGAGTAACCCCATCGATTGGTGTTGCTTACTCTATAAATATCAAATTGTTTTGTTATATTTTATTTTTAAATCACCTTTCAAAACGCCAAAAGTTAAATTTATATTTTTTCTGCACTTGGCATTAATATTTAGACTTTGTAATGGTCTACAGGCACAGTATATTTGAGGACCACTGCACTTAGACGAAGTTAAAGCAGCCTGGTCACCACTGGACATTAAAAAAAGTACGCTTATCTCACACAGAACACCAGGGTAAAATAATGATGTGTTTCGTATGGTGAGTTTAGATAACCGGAGACTCTTTTTACCGTAAACGAGGTATTCCATCTTAGTCCTCAGGACTGCCAACGTATCTGCGTTTTGATTCTTAATCAAGGAGAGGTCTATCCACAGAATCCATTTACCATTAAGTGGACTTTCTGTATGTTCGTTTGTTACCCCTATTCTGTTGGAAAAAACTCAATCTTAGTCCTCAGGGGAGACAGCGCATCTGCAATTTGATTTTCAGTCGAGGATAGATACTTAAATGTCTTTGAATAAAACGAAACAAATGCGTTACTGTTCATGAAAAAGGAAAAAGTTTATATATAATTTGAATATTACACTGGTTAACAGGAAGGTATATTGTTAAAATATTAACTTGTATGGTATTATGACTTGGTGAGGTTATCCGCTGCTATACCTCTCAGTTAAGGTCCTGAGTTATCTTTACAGTGTCTGACAAAATTCTGACAAAATTGTGTCAATCTGACACAATTTTGTCAGACACTGTAAAGGTAACACAACTAATATACACTTCTGACCGTGGAGACGGTTTTTTTAAAAACTTTACCCCCACACCATGATGCTCTCCTGAGTCGTGTAGGGAGTTTACATACATGAATTGTACAAGGACGAAGATCCAGATCCGGAACAATGAATTGTAGATCGTACAAATACTTGTTCCGTGCCGGATTCAAACCGTGAGCGCCGTAGCCCATTGCGAAGTCACTGCGCCCTGGAGCGTTTATATACATAAATTGCACAAGACACACATCCAGAACCGGAACAATTATTTGTAGACCATACAAATAATGGTTCCTTGCGGGATTCGAACCGGTAGCCCGCAGCACCTCGACTGATATTTACCTTTAACACATACACTTATGTGACATGACCAATTTTAGGAATGAGTTATCTCTTTGCAGCTGCTGACTCAACTATTTCAAAGAAATAAGTTGATAGAGCCTTGGTACGTCAAGGGATAACCGGTCGCTTTAAATTTGAAAGTACGTATTGTGACGGTCCATTATTATTAATAATAATTAATAATTAATTTCTATATAAAGCCGTCAAAATTTATCTTAGAAGATATATATTAAACAATAAAAATACATTAATAAGTATAAAGTTAAAATAAATACATTACAGACATTAAGTATTATAGTAAATTAATGGCTTAATATTGCCTTTCAATAAATTTTGATAAATTTGTTAAAATCTTTGTTAAAATATTCGAAATGCGTTAAATAATAGAAATGCAAGTCAAAAATATTTTAATATTGGAGATAAATAACATTTATAAAATAACTGGAAAATTGGTCAAAAATTTTCATTCATCAAGTCATTGAGGGTGTTCGTATAGAGAAATTTGCTTAAGCCATTGATCGTGTTAGTGTAAAGAAACTTGCCTAAGTCATTGCGCGTGTTCGTGTAGAGAAAATTGCTTAAGTCATTGAGCGCGTTCGTGTAGAGAAAATTGTTTAAGTCATTGAGCGTGTTCGTGTAGAGAAAATTGTTTAAGTCATTGAGCGTGTTCGTGTAGAGAAAATTGTTTAAGTCATTGAGCGTGTTCGTGTAAAGATTGCGTATATAAGGGAGCTGCCGGAGACGCATACTCAAGGGTGAACATATATACGACTACTTATAGTACACAACACAACACAACACTGTTGCACAAGTTGTAAAATCTATGTTATAAAAGCATTCATATAGAAGGTATCTATGATGCATAAGCATTATGATAGTAGATTTGTGGACTGAAGTCCTATATATTAAAGACATATAATAGTAAGGTCTATGAAATAAAGCAA